AACTACAGGCGGTACAGACAAAGATGAGGATGTCAAAGCCAGCCAGCCAGCCAGCCAGCCAGCCAGCCAGCCAGCCAGCCAGCCAGCTAGCATCAGAAACACAGCAAGACAGACATTCCTTCATTAACCTGAAGTCAGTGTAAAGATCTACTGCACTGCACTGCACTGCACTCAGCATAAAGTGGGAACAACATCCAGATTTTCAACACTTATCTCAGTCAACTCAGTACTTCCATGTGAAGGTAGAGAGACTTGGCATGTCATGATAAACATTTCCAACAAACTGCAGACATCATATCATACATGAACAGCTGTCACCTATACTCGTTCCATACTGACACTGAAGATGAGATGAGATCTGATCAGATCTGATCAGACCAGATATCAAGAATCATGAGAATAAGCGTCAAGGAACTCTGGTTGGCTGGCTGGCTGGTTGCCAACCAACCAACCAACCAAGAACCCATCGTCCAACAAATATGCAGAAGAAGAAGAAGAAGGTGGAGATGGATTGGACGTAGACTGAGAAGACTGTTTGGGGACATCAGACGTGAGGTGAGGCCATCGAGTGGAAACTGAATTGGAGACGATGAGTTGTGTGTCCAATGTGAGGTTGACATGGTGAAGATGGTGTGTGTAAGGAATAAAATTTGTGGGTAGTCGTGGGGCGAGGTTGAAAAGACTGCAGAGATGAGAGTGGAATGCTGACATGCTATTGAATGCATGTGTTCTACTAGGAATTTCAGGGACAAATCATAATAATAAAACAATCAAATACCTGAGTTATGAGTGCAGGAACTCGGTCGTGAAGTGTAACGATGTCAGGATGATTTCACGAATATATATTCAAGTTGAAAAGTGCTAGCTGTTGGATTCCAGTCACGTATGTTAGTGACAGTCTTTTTCTCGCTATATTTGAGTGTGATCAGTCCTATTGTAGCTGGGGTTGTCAGTTCACGCAACCAAGGTATTCACTGATGGATTGAAACAGTCATGCTCTTGGATTTGATTTTTTCTCCCCTAGTTTGTGGCAACTTGTGATAAAGGTGCCCTCAGTTCTACGTATATTTTTTTTATGATATAAAATGTTTCTTTGTTAGTAAACTGTTATCTTTCCGGGGGTCATTCAACATTCGCACTAGTCAGTATTATACATTTTAGAACTTCATCCCTGAAGTTTTTATAAACTAGCTCTCTGTAATAGATTTATGAATGAATGAATAAAAACCCTAGCTTGTGACAGGCTTCAGATCGACTTTCATCAATCTCTGATGAAAAATAACAAAGTTTTTGAAGGATTTCGGTAAAACGGTATACTCTACTCAGTGTAAACAGTTGATTATTAAGTTGATTCGTTTGATAAAATTGTGGCCGATTTTATCCTGAAGTTGTCACTAATGAAGTAAAACAAATTTGGAGGCAAACCAGTACAGTCGAAGTAGAGTGACAACAGTAAACCAGAAGCTATTCTGTCAAAGTATGTCTGTTACAGAGAATGGACCACCATAACTCAACCGCCTATTATACCATATTCTGGTAGTTAAAGACTTGAGTGTTGTGTTAGACTCTTAGTGGGAAATACATCAGTCTCTAGGAGACATGTGCAGCCACCTGATGAATGCCAAAAAAAGAACCAACGCTCATACTTCATTCTACTGCTGGTCCTTGAACAACATTCTTAGCAAAAGTATACATATATTCATCATTTGAAACGCTACTGATTCAGTTCATGATTAACTGTTTTGTTCGACCTCATGGTTACCAATACGTTTTTAATGACTAAAAGTGAATTAAATTTTGTGTGTTCTTGACTGTTTTAAGTTAGGCTTACAATTCATCAGAAATCTTTTCAATATTTATCTACAAATTTCTTTTAAACAGATGAAATTTAACCTGATTTGAATTGAAACTTTCATTCATCTAGTTAGGTGTACTACAGACTTATCATATGTTTTCTGCAACTAGGCATACCTCTATCATTGTATTGGCTTTGTATTAACTACAAAATCTAGACGGTGTATACGGATGGAAATATATTCACGAGTAAACCTTAGCTATAAAATGAATATTTGTAGTACATTCAGGATTAACTTGAACTTTGGAGCTTTTCATTTCACAATTCATGAGACAAAAGATTTACTCGAACGTTTAGGATACAAATCTTGATATTGTGTATATCAAGTAGCCCAGAACTACAGACAAATATGTTTATTTAGTCTACAAATAGTTTATGAAGTATTAAGAATGGTGTTTTGACCAGTTGAAACATGACCACATTAATACTACTAATAATAATAAATACAAGTCCATATGAAAAAGTATTTGTTTATAAGGTCAAGAAGCTCAACATATGATAAATTATTTGTTTTACTTTTTTGATCACACTTTAAATTTCAAGGTCAAAAAAGTGAAATGTATACCTTCATACAATTAACACACTATTATTTTACAAACTTGGTGTAATAACCAAACATTTTCGGTTAGATTGTAAATATTTTTATCAGATAGAAAAGTAAAGTAATATTGTAATGCGGCAGTGGGTGTTGCTGATCAAAATGGATATAAGTAGTATGTGTTGAGAGGGCGGTAGAAATCATAGGGAATTACCGGCAACGGGTAAAGATTCTGCCTTGAAAAACGCAAGAGACAATGTAGGCGTATTTAAGCAAACCAACATGGTAGCAGAAGAAGAAACGAAGCACACTTTGCAAATGACTGTATTAGTGGAAGGTGTACAATATTTGATGACTACTGTACAAGATGACTACACTGCGGCTACTCCTATACGCAATAGCTGTCTGATCACCCTGGCCATTTCGCTAATGTCCATGGGCTGGGCTGGTGGGCAATGGCATTCGGAACACTCTCAGTGAACCGTGCGGTCAGCAACTGATTTTGGGCATCCGCATCCAACATGGGAAACGCTCGTCGAAGTAGTTTGGTCAACTTCACAGCCAACACCAGCGGATCTTCATCTATTCCCAGCTTCGCGCTGCGGAACTGCTGCATCGCCTGTTCCCTGTCCGCGGAGCTGTCGAACTCCGCCTCCAGGCGCTGTATCATTCTCCGCCAAGTCTCCCTCCCGTTACCACGTTCCACTCCGTCACATGCTGCTTTCGCTCTGCCCAGCAGCAACCTTCCCATCACCACGACCTTCGCCTCCGGATCCCGAACCGCCACCAGCTCCGCTACCGCCTCGAAGTCCTTGAGGAAGACTTTGATGTTTCCATCCTCGAACTCTGCAGGCCATGGGAATTTCATCACGTCCAAAGGCAGCGACACCAATTGAAGAAACAGAAGACAACTCGACGAGAGAATGTATATTAGGAAGAAGTAGTATTCATGATGGACTGACATCAGTTGGGGAACCACTGAAAATCTGGGAGCACTGGACAGTGAAGTAGATGCTAACTGAAGACCTTGAGTGACAGTCGCGCTATGTCGTGAATTGACAGAAGTTGGAAATTGTGAACCACTGAAAACCGACCAACTGGCTGAATGGTTAACGCGTTCACCGTGAAACCTGAAGGTGTTGAGTTCCATCCCTAACCAGGTCATTGGTGCGTACTGCTGAGGAGTCGCATACTAGGACGAAACAGCTAGCTGTCCAGTGCTCCCAGACTTTCAATGGTTCCCCAACTGATATCAGCCCATGATGAATACTACTTCTAAATTGAAAAAATCCCTATTCGTCTCGAAAATATTAGGAAGGGTTGGAACGGAAGTGGTTACATATGGTACTGCTTGCACTAACGCAACCGTTTGCAAATGTCTTCGTTTCCTCTCTGTTCCTGTCTTGATTTGCTCTTGACCGGCTCTTCATACACTCTTATCAGCAGCATCCCCTGTCCCCTGCGTTGCTCTTGGCAGAAACCTTACCCATTGCCGGTAATTCCCTATGATTCCTGCCGCCCTCTCGATATATACCACTTATATCTGTTGTTATCAGCAACGCCCCACTACACTACTTCTAAATCAATGATTTGTTTTTCACTGATAATGTAACGATTGGATTAAGTGTTAGCCAATAAACAAACGAATGTTAACATATATAATTTTATTTGGTGAAAAGATTAGTAAATTCATGATCTGTAAAAAACTTTTTAATCATCCTTTCAAACCTTAATAATCAGAAGCATTCATTTTCATGATTACTTTGAGTATAAATAGCAAATGAGAAGAAAATGATGAAAATACCAGTGAAATACAACACAATAAAAGGTTCTCGGTTAGTGTTATTCATATTTGTTATAAATTCAGTAACGTTGAAATGTTGGAAACCTAGGAGAAATGAACAACTGTTTCGTTATAGTATGCGACTTCTCAGTACGGCTGATTGGTGACTAGTTTGGAGGGATAATTCTTGAGGTTCCAATGAGAAGACGTGACTGGTGAGGCAAACTTGGTGGACGTGAGGAAAAATATTTAACAGTGACATTGGGTGATGATGGCGCTATATCGTGAACTGACAGAAGTAGGAAATATGGACCACTGGATCCCAAGCCGAAGGTCCTGGGCTCGACACCTAACGGAGCGGGATCATCGAGGCACACTATTGAAGAATCCCACACCAAGGCAGAACAGTTGTCCACTATTCCCAGGTTTCCAGTGTTCCTTCAACTGATGTCAGTCTACTATGTATACCGACTTGAAATAAATAAATTTACTCAAACCCCCAAATTGAATATAAGAATAATTTTTCAAGGATAGTTTCAGCACTAGCAGTTTCATATGTCAAGCACCTCTGCAGTTTGAGATGACGTGCAGAGTTTACACTGAATCAGAGTGAAAGGTTGCAGTCAGTAGCAAGCTTTATCCTTCATGATTAATTTAGTGAAGACGTTTTCATTGTTGATTGATTTGCAATGATATTCTGTAACGCCCAAAAGTTAACATTAATCTTATTTCTTTTCACTTCAGAGATTGAATTTATCATGGAAATAATTACAGATAACTTTTAAAATAAGCCAATCATTCATTGACTATATACAGATAACATTATGAACGACAAATATAATGTTGATGATAATGTTACCAATTCTATTCCAAACTCTGCTTTCACTGCTACTTCTGACGATGTTATCATCAGTCACCATAACAATGAGAAACTTATCGTTGCAATCGATCAAGGCACAAGCAGCTCTAGAGTCATAATTTTTTCCTCAAAAAATGGAAGAATTATAGCTATGCATCAGATACCTGTAACACAATCTTATCAATCCCCTGGTTGGGTTGAAATGAATGCTAATGAAATATATGAAACTGTTGTGGATTGTTTAAATAAATGTGTTGAAGAGTTAAATGAAAAAAGAAGAAGTATACAAGTGAGTTAACAGTTAACCTTCCTATTATTATTATTATTCCCCTGGGTTTATAGTGGGACATAAGGATTCAGTAGCACGCCTCCATTGCACTCTATTCTCTTCAGTCTTTTCAACTTTGCTGCACAACTGCCCACAAGCCTTCATTTTTTCCTCACATCATCTCCTCCATGTCACCCTCGCCTCGGATGCATAACTCTTCATTTCACTTTTGGATTCCACTCGTAGGCCTGGCCTGATAAGTGATGTCCACAATCGGCTTTCTCAGTGTATGCTCAATCCATCTTCGCTCTCTTCTTATGCATATTTGTTGGGCTGTGGGTTCTTGGTTGGTTCCTTGTTACTTATTCTTTCTGGCCTCCTGATCTGATCTTCAGTATCGAGCCAGCGTAGGCAGCTGTTCATGTATGATATGATGTCTGCAGTTTGTTGGAAATGTTTATGGTGACGCGCCAAGTCTGTCAAGCATTACATAGAAGCACTGAGTTGACTGAGATAAGTGTTGAAAATCTGGATGTTGTTCCCGCTTTATGCTGAGTGCAGTGTAGTGCAGTAAATCTTCACACTGATTTCAGTTTAATGAAGGAATGCCTATCTTGCTGTCTTTACGATGTTGGCTGGCTGGCTTTGACATCCTTATCTTTCTGTGCCGCCTGTAGTTGAAACGATGCTTCCTGGGTAGGTGTAGATGGAAGAGACTACTTCCTTTCTTTCTACTCTACATTCACTACAAGTCCCGTTTTTCCTGCCTTGCCTCTTCTGTCAACTTATTAGTTTCCGCCTGTAAATCTTCGAGTTTGTGCTACGAGACATTTGACATAAATCATCATCGGCCAATCAGGGTATGACCATCTTCTCGTTCCTCACGGTTTGCTGCATGATCCAGTTCACCACAATCAGGAAGATCATTGGTGATAGTATGCAGCTTTTCTGTTAGTATTCACATTTTCAATCATACATTCATCTTTACACAGAACTTTTAAAATGCAGTAATGAGTATTATTTATGAGAATTGCTCTCTCAAAGATTATTGATATCATAATTTTTGGTTTACTGAATTAGTTAACATTGATCGATTGAGTGATATAATGCATTCATTAAAGTATTTTCTATGAAAAGCAGTACTGTATATTTTTAGATTATGTGAGCTTTGTTCACCTTTCCATTGACGAGTAAGAAGTTTCTCGAACCTTGAAGAAACTTATCTTTTTATTCATTCAGAGAAACTGAAACTTTATCATTCAAGTGATGGTTACTTTAGGAGTTATCAATGTTTATAAGACTGTTACTATTTAGTACTTACGGTTTGTTGAAGTATTCTAATCGATAGAGTAGAACATCACTCAGACTTGTACTATAGTTAGTATGTGAGTATTATAACAAAGAAATATAAGTTATGAGTTGATTTAAGGAAGCTTTTACCGATTGAAAGCTGAATAACTCGCATATGAAAATGAGTTATGTAATGTTATGAAACCAATGCAATGGAATAAGTTGTACAGTATGGTAACAGTATAGTTCCATGTTTATTCAATTGTTCGTTGTATCATACAGGTTAATCATGCCAAATTTTAAAAACATCTTTTCATTTTGTGATATTCATGAAACGAATTCAGTAACATGAAATGTTGTGTAATGAATGTACCCTTAGATGAAGGTTAAATATTGAAGTTTCACTTTATTCAATGTATATTAACTTGGATCTATAGAAAGCAAAAGAGTTGTAATTATGATATGCATATTTCTGATTACTTCAATAGCGGATGATATTTATGCAGTTCTGAACAGTTCAACAAGCTTGAATCATGCAACAGAGAACCCATATAATTAAAGTAACATTGTGTCACAGTAGTATACAACACGGATTACCAGTGATATGTAAATATCACGTGGAAGTAAACAATTTATCCTAACTTCATTAGGTCATCAGATAAGATAACTTGATCTAATCTCCTAGTTATGCATATCTAGTCAACGCATGTCAACAGAATCTACATTGAAGAAAAGAGTTTGCAAAAAAATGACCTAGTAAAACTTGTAACAGTAGTAGTTCCCATTGAATATTTTCAATAGAGTTTCGTTTCTACGAACATTTGCTAGTCAAAGAAAATGAATAATTACCTTATAGAAGTTAAAGAGAGTTTCTGAACGATATATTTAATAGAAGAAAGCTACAACATATTTGAAATGAAGCATAAATTATTCCTTTAAGTAGATTTTCAACAGTGTTTCATTTTCCATAAATATTTCTAAAGTAAAACAATACTTCAACTAAACATTTCTTTCTTATCAACTGACAGTTTTAACATAACTTACCTAAAATGTATTCATATTTGAAGATTTAAGTAAAATATCTTGTATATTAGGACTATACTTCACTGTAGTACAAACTTTTGTAGCTGTTTAGAACAGTATATAAGTAATTCAAGTAGTATGTTTTAAATCAAACCAAATATTTTTTAAAAAAAAACATTTCAGAGTAAAAAAGACACAATTAAGTTGAAAGGAATTGTGAAATTTCATAATAGTTTCTTCAATAAGTCAAAATATTTGAATTACAGTGTATATGAACCCCTTGGCATCATTAGTGGCCATAAGGCTGGCAACATTAGAGCTCTACGATATATGTTATTAACACATACAAATAATTGTGCTCCATTCATACTACTTATCAGTGCTCACTAATGAATTCATGGGACCGGCACAGTAAATGACCACGTCCTTCATTCAGGGTAAGGCTCAAAATTTGCCAGTCGAAATCAATGTTTTGACCTAACATAACTATGAAACGCTCCAGTTTACCACAACTCTCATCAGCATATTAAGATACCACAAGAAACAAAAAAAAGATAAAAACATCTTAATCATGTGCTTGAAAGCTGCGAAAACTGTAAAATGAGAAAGAGTGGCATAACCAATTATGAGATGATAATACTATGTCGAAGATGAAGACAAGTCATAAAGAATCTGCATTCTCAAACTACGACTAACCTCTGTGATGGCGCTTATCTTTCTTTACATTAGTCATATGAAAAATAAGAGGCTAAATGGACTACCTGCAGATTTTGTTCTGACCAAATTCAGCTTTTTTTAAAGTTGACCCTAGGAAGATATAGTAACTAGGCAGGCGTTAAGCATTTCGAAGCCACTCCAGTCAATGAAGACTTAAAACCTCATCAACTGACTTATGCACCTTGCCTAAAAGACCCTACATTCGACCTTTACATCAATAACCTGATGGTTCTGTCCTTGTTTTGCAGTAATAAAGTAAGCCAAAGTAAACTACTTGTTGTTAGTGTTTTGAGCTACTCCCATTGACTAGTAGTATGTATATATATATGGCGAGGTGCATTCTTATCGCGATGGGTGAGTGATACGACTAATTTGAATATTTTTTTTGTAAAACATTTTCCTTTAAGTGATGATGCCTTACTTTACAACTTAGTGTATTTAAAGTTATTCATCATCGTAGACTGACATCAATTGAAGGAACAAAAGAAACCTGGGAACACTGGACAGCTGTTTTGTCCCACTAGTATATGACCCCTCAGCAGTGCGTATCCACGAATCCGCCACGCATTGAACCCGCGGCCTTCAGGTTCCAAGGCCAGCGCGTTACCATTGAGCCACTGGATCAGAACCCAATGCTCCATATTTCCAACTTCTGTTAGTTCGCGAAGTTGGAAATATGGAGCATTGGATTCTGACCCAGTGGCTCAATGGTAACGCACTGGCCTCGGAAATTGAAGGTCGTGGGTTAGATCCTGGCGCATTCGTGGGTGCGCACTACTGAGAGGTCACATACTAGGACGAAACAGCTATCCAGTGCTCCCAGGTTTATTTTGTTCCTTCAATTGATATCAGTCTACGATGAATAACAGCTTGAAATATTTCCAAATCTCCACAACTCCCTCAAAATTTTATTGTATTTACTTCCATTTCAACAAATAGATATATTTCATCGTTTTTTCAAGATGATACATTCATGTCCTTTAATGGTATAGACTAGAAATTTGTAGGTACATAAAAGATTCAAGTTCCTGTAAATCACAAATTTTTTATTTGTAACTTTATACTATTTATATCAGTAATTGTTCATTTGATCCCTCAATTTGACTTCAGTAATCAGTCATAATAATTAATGGTGTGTAGATTTCATTGATTAAATTATTTGTTGATATATTATGCTATTTATACATATTCTACCTATTCATTGATAAATCAATAGAAATGATTTAGAATTTGATTAGTTTATCTGGAAGCTCACTAAAATCTCATGAAGAGTTTATGTTACCTGATTAACATGAACTGATATCAACGTGAAACGAGTGTTAATTTTATTCATAATCATAACATATAGTAAGTGACAGTACAATAAATATTATCAAGTGTATATACAATTACCAACTGCAGTCAACTCTCTACCTCAACTTCATCCACTTTGAAAAGGCCTTCGACAGCATCGACCAACAAGTAATTTGGCAGGCAGTTGCTTCAACACTACGCAATACCACAAACATTTTCAGCCTCATTCAACAACAACAACAACATGAAGACACCACATGCCAAGCAATTCACAATGCAAAGCTCAGTGATGCTTTCGAAGTGAAGACAGGAGACAGGAGTGAGACAAGGCTGCCTACCATCACCCATGATATTCCTGATTGTGGTCGACTGCATTGGACTGGATCATGCAACAAACAGTGAGGAGCTGTGAGAAGAAGTGGGGGGGGGAGTGGGGGTGGGGGAGGGGAGGGGAGGGGATACAATAGCTAGACGACGGAAAAGAACCTAGATGATTTGGATTTCGTCGATGACTTGTGTCTGATGTCACACAAACTTGGAGATCTGCAAGCGAAAACTAACAAGTTGGCAGAAGAGGCAGAGAAGTGAAGATAGGAATTCAAGTGAATATAGAGAAGATGGAAGTGATGAGGATACCCAATCAACACCAACACCAACACCACCACCAACAACAACAACAACAACAAACTCCAATCACCATCAACGGGAGAAACTTAAAGCAATTAGTCTCCTTCACCCATCTAGTCAGCACTGTTTCAACTACAGGTGGCACATGCACAGATGAGGATGTCAAAGACAGCCAGGATCGGAAAGACAGCAAGAGAGAGGTTGATTAGCCTGAAACCAATGTGGAGATCTACTGCTTTGCAATCAATATGAAGAACAATATCCTGATTTTCAACACTTATCTCAGTCAAGTCAGTGCTCCTGTATGGTTGAGAGATTTGGTGCGTTACGCGAAAGGGATTTCCAATAAACTACAAACATTCATCAACAACTGCCTAGACTGGCTCGTTACTGAAGCTGAGATGAGATGGTCAGAATAATAAGAATGGGAAACAAGGAACTGTGGCTGGCTGGCTGGCTGGCTGGCGACGAACCAACGAAGCAATAACCTATCATCCAACAAATATGCACTGGAAGGAAGTGGAGATGGATTGGATTAGATTGGATTGGACGTCGATTGAGAAGACTGTTTGGGTACATCACGCACCAGGTCAGACCAGGCCGTTGAGTGGAATACAGATGGGAAGCGATGAGATGGGCTTCCGAAGTGAGGTTGACATGGAGGAGGTGATGTGAGGAGGGAATGAGAGCTTGTGGACTGTTTTGGAGCCAGGTTCAACAGATTTCAGAGAAGAGAGTGTACTGGAGACGTGCTACTGAAGCTCTATGTTTCATTAGGAACCTAAGGGACAAATAATAAATTATAATAAAAAATTGGGTGGCGTATAAGTCGGGGTCGTATAAGACTACTGTAAGAAGAGAAGCAAACGTAGCGTTTATTCTGTTTGAGCTTTTCAGAACCTTTATGAGGAATTTAAGAATAGGGACAGATACAATCAGCTTTTTAAATCTCAAGAAGGGTCTTGAAATGTATAATGATTTTCAAATCAAAATTCACTTGTTCATCAGGATGTGTAATTTATTTCTTCAGGATATCATTGGTATTGGAATTACTAATCAACGTGAAACAACTATTGCATGGGATCGTGAAACAGGTAAACCATTGGCTCCAGCAATCGTTTGGTCAGATGCAAGAACTGCTGATGATGTTGTAAAGTTTATTCAATTAGCTCCAGAAAGTAAACCAAATGCCTTCCAGGTAAGAGAAAGGTGATATTTGTTTTCTATCACCCCTTACTTCTTTATGAAGAGATAATATTTGATTATTACTCAAAGGTTGTTTTAACATGATTTTAATCAATCAAGTCTTGGTAGGGATTAGAAGTAAAATAAAAATGTATACTTCGTCAGATGTGGGACTCACCTAGACCACCTATATCCCCTTCACGATCCACACTGTGACTCAAACTTATCATGAGCTGATTTAAATGTCACAGAACTATTCACTAAGCTACTTTGTTGTGACGACAACCTTATGTTCAACAAGTAGCAGCTTGTTGTTGGAATTTTTATTCTTTCGTAAGTTTTATTTTTTTAAAAACTTGCTACAAAGTATCTACATTCGGCTGATGCATCTTAAGTGTATGAAAACACATGTTTTGTGTGAATCATGTCTCTAAGTAATACGTGTGACAAGACTAAAGACTAACAGATCAATCTGTACGCCAAAGCGCATCCACTAATGGCATGAGTAGCAAAGTAGTGAAGTCTGTTACTTCAAAACTAAGAGTTTTCTGAAGACTGCAAATAGCATATCTAATGAGTGCTAATAATGGGCACAGAACAGCTTTTTAGGGTTCCTTACACCTGAATAAAACCGTTATACAGCTACTGAATTGAGTTCAAAACCAACATTTAATCATGAGCTTAATTGCTTTACTTTAAATTGCCCCATTTTCCAAAGGTAACAGGGGACGGATGATTCAGAAAATATACGGTTAGTTGTGAATACATCTGACCATTTTCGATAAATTGTAGAATTCAGTTAAATGTCTGAAATGTCAACTCATGAAATGTCAAAGATCTTAAGTCAGTATCCCTAATTTCCTTGCATGGCTTCGAGGAATGGTTTCTTACTGATCGTCCTTTTCAGTTATAACGGTCTATGCAAGTCAGCTAGATAAATTCAAGTGATATGAACTAATTTGGCCTTATAAGCTGATTTTTTCAGCTACACCGCTGATGAGCTCATCCCGTTACCAGCACTCTGATATGGCTTACCAAATCTACAGACCAGACTGAGTGGTTTATAACTACTCAAGTTCTTCAGTAGTAGTATATTTCGCTAGTTCATGACACTTTTGTGTCAGATATCACATCTCATGATGTAGACTAAATGATTCTCAGCGGAAACCTTATTCATACTACAGTAAGGGTAGTTGAAAAACTACTCAGCTGGGAGAAATGTCAATATGAACCACGCAATTTGTAAATCATTTAAAAATTGAATCTGTGATTAGCTATTATGGCATTAAAATAAGTATAACGTTGTCGAATTCTTAAGTTCTTGGATTCAGTAATCATGAGTAATGTAAACAGATTTTAACAGTAATAAAAAAAAAATTCAACGTAATATGCTTTCAACTAGCTTTTTCACTGGCACTCTGTTTCTGATGATATTCGTAATGATAATAACCATGAAACTGGAATCATTGACGAGGATTTGTCACATAGTTCTTGTCTACTAGACTGATCTTGAAACAGCAGTCTACTGCTTACCTGCCTGATGTACTGTCTGTTGATTTTATAGACCTAGTAACTGATTAGTCTTCAGCTTCACTTCAGTCATATAGCATTCATTGATATGTCATTCAGGTAAAAGTCTAGTTGACAAATACGTCTCATAGGTCAGTTACGTCTGACTGGTAAGTTGAAGATCTGCGACTTGAATTATTTTGTAATTTGGATTCAGTTTTCAATTTAAATCATTATTTTACTATGCAGATTGAATTTGTTTTCATTTTCTTCTTTACCGAATCATATTTATCTGATACAATCTTTTCACTTTCTTCTTTTAAGCATATTACAGGTTTGCCAATACACAGTTATTTCTCAGCTGTTAAAATGAATTGGTTATTAAGCCATATAGAAGCAGTAATAAAGGCTAATGAAGACAATAGGCTGTTATTTGGTACAGTCGATTCTTGGTTAGTATGGAAATTGACTAATCATGCATGTCATGTCACTGATGTAACAAATGCAAGCCGAACACTGTTATTCAATTTGCATACACTAGAATGGGATGAAAAATTATGCCAGTGAGTAGATAGGCTTCTTTGATTATCCTATTTGTAAAGATGCATGTTAGGGGGATACGCTGGACTGCGGAAAAGAACCTAGATGATTTGGATTTCGTCGATGACTTGTGTCTGATGTCACACAAACTTGGAGATCTGCAAGCGAAAACTAACAAGTTGGGAGAAGAGGCAGAGAAGTGAAGATAGGAATTCAAGTGAATATAGAGAAGATGGAAGTGATGAGGATACCCAACCAACACCAACACCACCACCACCACCACCAACAACAACAACAACAAACTCCAATCACCATCAACGGGAGAAACTTAAAGCAATTAGTCTCCTTCACCCATCTAGTCAGCACTGTTTCAACTACAGGTGGCACATGCACAGATGAGGATGTCAAAGACAGCCAGGATCGGAAAGACAGCAAGAGAGAGGTTGATTAGCCTGAAACCAATGTGGAGATCTTCTGCACTCAGCATAAAGTGTGAACAAGATGCAGATTTTCAACACTTATCTCAGTCAAGTCAGTGCTCCTGTATGGTTGAGAGACTTGGCGCGTTACGCGAAAGGGATTTCCAATAAACTACAGACATTCATCAACAACTGCGTAGACTGGCTCATTACTGAAGCTGAGATGAGATGGTCAGAATAATAAGAATGGGAAACAAGGAACTCTGGCTGACTGGCGACGGACCAACCAAGAACCAACCACTCAACAAATGTGCAAAAGAAACTGGAAATGGAGATGGATTGGGCATATACTGAGAAGGTTAACTAAGGACATCATGCTCCAGGCCAGATCAGGCCATCGAGTGGAACCCAGATGGGAAACGATTAGTTGGGAGTCCGAAGTGACATGAAGGAGATGATGTGAAGAAGGAATGAGAGCTTGTGGACTGTTTTGGAGCCAGGTTCAACAGATTTCAGAGAAGAGAGTGTACTGGAGACGTGCTACTGAAGCTCTATGTTCCATTAGGAACCCAGGGGACAAATAAATAAATAAAAGATATATGTTATCAAATGACACTTTTATTTCGTAGAAATTCCACACTACAGATGATAGATAAATAAGCCAAAAGAGTTGAGATATAATATCGCTGAAGAATGTCTACTTAATGAGTGAAAATTATCGATTGACTAGGTCAAATCTATCAAGAAACAATTGACTGAGTTGTGGTCAATATATCTGACGAAGTAGCTACATCTAGTATTTTGTCCTTCAATAAATTGATTGTTTTAATTCAGTGTAAACGTTTTTGCAGATTTATTAATTGATTTCAGGTTCGAATTCACTATAGACTGACATCATTTGGAGGAGCATTGGAAACCTGGGGGCACTGAACAGATGTTTCACCCTGGCATGGGACTCTTCAGCAGTGAGCATCCATAACCACCCCTCTCCTCGATAGGGGTCGAATCCTGGGCCTTCAAGTTCTATGACCAGCAGGTTACCAATGAGCCACTTAACCACTGGATGAAGGTCACGCTATATCGTGAAATGTCAGAAGTGGAAAATATGGGCTATTTGATTCCGACCCAGTGGCTCAATGTCAAAGGGCTGCACACGGAACCTGAAGGTCCTGGGTTCGATTCCTGGGGGTTGGGTGGTGAATGTGGACTGCTCAGGAGTACCATGCTGTGGCGAAACAGCTGCCCAGTAATGGCAGGTTCCCGACGTTTCTCCAACTGATATCAGTCTACGATGAACTAAGATATGAAGTCACGTAGTTTTATTGTTGTTACTGGTATTATCAGATCGTTGATTGGACCGAATTTGATCTGTCTTTCTTGGCTGAGATGATGCCTGGATACTGCCTGAGTTTCAATTTTATATTATTGATGGATAAGAGCTAGCAGCGGAATCTGGGACGCACATTCCTCCAGGATAATGCTGTGGCGTTTGAACCGATGGGTCCCAACTTTTAGTCCTAGTGTGAGCAGTATCGCTCAACGGGAGGCAGATGCATCCAGCTGACAAGTCCCAAACAAGACGAAATGCATACCCTGTATTTCTATGCTAGCCGCAATCAAGCAAATTATCATAATAAGTATGCAGGCAATATCGAGGCATTTACATAGGAGCCCATATGCCAAGAGAGATCGAACGCTTCGATCCAGTATAACAACGGAGAATTACAAGTACATCAACAAACAGCAGTTACTTATACCCGTTGCACAACAGGTGTCTGTTATGACTAGATGGCCTAATGGATAACGCTTTGGCATTTGAAGCGATGGATATGAGGTCCGAACGTTGGCGGGAACAATATCACTCACTGGGGTGTAGGTATATCCAGTTGATGAGTCCTAAATAGGCCGAAACGTGCGTTTTGGATTAAGCTGCTAGTTTTCTTCATAAACAAGGTATGAATCGAAAAGTAACATAAATAGTGATCATTTAACTAACAGTGTAACCGAATGTCACTAGACATTTATTGATTTTCCATATTAGATTTGTTTATTTGATATATAGAGCACAATGATACAGTATTATTTAATTGATTACGTTTCCAGCATAAATTATTGCTCATAATTATATCAATGTGCCCAAGTTTAACACTTATATTTATTGATTTTTTCTCATTAATGAATGTTAGGCTGCCTTTACTTGGTATTAGGAAGGTAGGTCTTCTAATTTATGATTTTTTAGGTGTTAAGAAGGCAACCTGACAACTTTACTGGAAGCCTATAAATGTTGGTCTAGAACTGTTTCCATGAAATATAGTCTTCACAATTTGAGTCAACATGATAGTCGAAGTTGATTATAAATTGTTCGATACGATCAATTAGTTAGTTATAGAACCAATTCCTGTGGCTCAGATTTGCACCATTTCATTAACTGCTCTTTATAGAGTATAAAATCTCTCCACATTTTAACTTTATTGAAGAATTCATGATCATATATGAATAATTATCTCTGAAAAAACTAATCATTTCAGCTTTATGGAATTTTCAGTAGCAGGCAGTCTTTAAGTTGAAGTGTATGAACCTTAAAATGCAGTTTTCTAAGGTGATTATTTCATTTTGGCATTCTTTCAATTTTTTAAGCATAAAAACTAAGTGAGCTATTCTTTTAGTATGAATCATTAGTTACTATTTGACTAAAAAGTCAATTGATGTGAATGTACACTTTCCTCAGTTGTAGTAGCTGAAAATACTTATGCATACCAAACCCCATATCCATACAGATGAGTGATATTAACTGAAACAGAATTCCATTAGATAAAAATTAAGGCTGGTCAGACTGAGACATGATATTGATCCATCAAATTTATGGTTGTTTGTCTTAACTTTGAAGCGAAATATTAGCTACCTACCTCAGGTCCTTTAGATGATAGCAGTCAATGACTTGAAATTCTCTGTAATATAACTAAGAACTATTCAATGTGCTTAAGCTTATCTAGTGTCTGTTATCTTTGAGATTTTGAATATTTACACCAACGTTCATTCATGAATCTCCTCTCCATTCCTATACTATTTGTTAGCTTTAATATCATTCCTACTTTACCCATGTTTCTATTGTTTACCTTTAAAGACTGTAGCAACTAGCAGTTTCCACTTGTGTACTAGCTTCAATGTTCATATGTCTACTTTTCTGTAGTATTCATGAGTTTTCTCTATTCAAATGAGTATTTCATACTGTCATTTACCAATGCTGACTTATTTTCTTTGGGAGATAGAGATAAATTTAGTTGAAAAGATGTAGAGTTCGTCACCAGCACCTACATCTTTTAAAATTGGAAAAATTTTTAATGTATGTGTTACTCATCGCGATATAAAATCATCAACAAAACAACAAGTGATACTTCATTCCATCTCACATCTTATAGTCATCTCTTCAAAGACTTTGTAAAATCATGATGAGAAGTCCTGATTGGACAGCCAGTGTGAGTACTGTCAAGCGGCAGTAACACGTCACAAATTCATATGGTAGTCGCGAAAAACCTTTAGTGATTGAAGTGAAATAAAAATCTGGTTAGCAGTCGAGCGATGTAGCTTGGCTGATAGAGCACAGGGCTAGGAATCTGGTGGTCATTGTTCGAATTCGGCAGCGGTTCAACTTTTCATTTCACCTTCAACCTTCATCCAGTATTAATATTAGTCTGCTAAACCACAGCTATCTCAGATAGTCAAAACGAAAATCGAATGTGTTCAGTGTTTTCAAACGCCATACTTCACAATTCAAAATGTTACTATAGATATCATACAAATTATGGTGAGACTTGTTTGGTTATTCGCTTAAGTCGAGCTGAGTTTCTCAGTGTTATTGAGATGACATAAGATTAAGTGTCAGTCTAGTCAGGTGTTGTAATGCCTCAGTTTTGTATAAAACATTGTTATTGATCTGAACATTTTAATGCGTCATTCCCACACCATTTTCTTTACAGCATGACTAATAGTCTATTTTATGCCCACATTGCTTTTAGTGTAAATCGCTGATTGGTTAATCTTTACGCTTAATATGCAAATGCCTCAAATTGACGACAAGGTCATTCCTCATGTGTGTACTGATTCACGTGTTTTGTATTGATTTGTTATTATATTATATTGTCGGAGTAATACACTCTGCCATTATCTAGCTTCGATCTTCTCTCAATTCGTCCAGGGGTTGCAGTCAGTGACTGTTGCGTACTAAATTAGTTGTCAGGTGAGCGTGCGTACTACATTCGTTTCGGAATACATATACCATTAGCGTTCGAAACCATAACATCAGATGTCGAGATACATAGTTGCAGGTGGCATTAATATGATATAGTGACAGTAGTAGCAAAACATTGAACATTGAATCATACTTTTATGCTTGAAAAGATACAATCACTATGGAACCTAATAGTCATAAGCTTCGTTCTAAATAAGGTGATGTGAGGACAATATTAAAACCGAAGTATTTGTTGAATGGTCTTTGAATTTTAATGGTCACCAATTTGATGTCAACTTGAAGATTACGCTAAAAGTAGAGTGTAATCCATTGTTTGACTGTATTATTTGTAAATGAAGAGAATCGTGAAGAAATTTTCAGTATATCAATAAGTGACATCAAAATGCATCAATAAAACTTGCTAAGAAATACTTCTACGCTTTTAACAGTTAACGATTACATCTTATCATGTTCACATTATTTTAAAACAGATAAATCAGTGAAATATTATTATATATTATATTATAGTATTATTATAGTAGACTTTCCATAAACTGTTAGCGATCAGCTTATCAAGCTTCATTTTCAGTGTATTTCATAGACCAGTGTTTTTTATAAATTTCTTGGAATAACTGAAGTCTATAACTTTTTCATTTTGAAACAATCTTTACACTTAAACACTCTTATGATTATCCTATAATAGATTTTTTCATATCAATCCACGTACTCTTCCAAATGTGATATCATCAGCTGAATTAGTTGGAGTTATTCAAGATACAAATTGTCTTATGAAAGGTATTCCAATATATGGAATTCTAGGTGATCAACAAGCATCACTTGTTGCACAGACATGGACATCATTAACCTCAGTAGATGACAGTTTATCTGATATATCTGGTGTGAAAATCACTTATGGGACAGGTGCATTTATGCTATGGAATATTGGCAGCCAACCATTTTTCTCAGATAAAGGAGTTTTAACTACAATAGCTTATCAAATTGGTCCAAAGGCAAAACCACATTATGCTCTAGAGGTAAATATATTGTAAGAAACAACAATATTTATAATAATAATAATAATTCCTTTGTTCTAAACAGTATTACTGATATAGTATGAAATTCCAAGTATGTAATATTTCTTTGAATTTACTCAGTGTACAAACATTTTCCAGTAGAATAAACATAGCGACTAAATAATCTTAAGAATAACATTATTTAGAAGTGGTATTCATCATGGACTGACATCAGTTGGGGAGTCATTGAAAATCTGGGAACACTGGACAGCTGGTTGTTTCGTCCTAGTATGCGACTCCTCAGCAGTACGCACCCATGACCTGGTTAGGGATGGAACTCAACACCTTCAGGTTTCACGGCGAACGCGTTAACCATTCAGCCAGTTGGTCGGTTTTCAGTGGTTCACAATTTCCAACTTCTGTCAATTCACGACATAGCGCGACTGTCACTCAAGGTCTTCAGTTAGCATCTACTTCACGTCCGACTGGTTGACCCCCCAGGTCACGGCTTCTCATTAGAACTTCCTGATATCCATCTGGAAGCAAGTCACTAATGAGCACTATACAGTAATGTATTTTCGAGGTGAATGGAGATTTTTAGTTTAAAAGTAGTATTCATCATGGACTGACATCAGTTGGCGAACCATTGAAAATCTGGGAGCACCGGACAGTGAAGTAGATGCTAACTTAAGACCTTGGGTGACAGTCACGCTATGTTGTGAATTGACAGAAGTTGGAAATTGTGAACCACTGAAAACCGACCAACTGGCTGAATGGTTAACGTGTCCGCCGTGAAACCTGAAGGTGTTGAGTTCCATCCCTAACCAGGTCGTGGGTGCGTACTGCTGAGGAGTCGCATACTAGGACGAAACAGCTAGCTGTCCAGTGCTCCAAGATTTTCAGTGGTTCCCCAATTGATGTCAGTCCATGATGAATACTACTTCTAAATTAAAAATTTCTGTTCATCTCAAAAATAAATAACATTATTATTATTAATAATAATATGTATCAGCCAGCTACTGTTAAGCTTTTGTCTGGCCTGTGGGCACATTGTGAGAAGGAAGTGAGTAGAATCATGTGCGTATGTTTGGCGACGGTTGTTTACACATATAACACAAGAATCTCTGTTTTGCGCTAAATACGTCAGGAATAATTGTGTTTGATATTCATCGGTGCATAGTTGAAAACACATCACCACTGACCACGATGTTTTTAAGAACATTTTATTCACGTAACCGTCACAGTGATAAGTTAAGCGCATGAAAGTACCCAATGCAATTTGAGGATAAGTTTGAATAATTAAAACAAAGTTAAAAGGATTAGTCCAAAGCAATATATATTCAATGTAATAATTTTGGTTGCTTAAGGTGTAATTAGGCTGTCACGTACCTGTGACGATAAAAGCTACTCCTTCTTTACACTTCTAATAAACTGTCGGTCAAGAAAATGTTTTTGAAATAAACAGATATGGTATGAGTAGGAAAACAATATAAATGGTTCACCATGACACAATTTTTGTGTTCTCCCTCCTTTTCAAATCACAAGCGGGAAATTTATATGTGTAAATGATTAAGGGTTTCTTTGACTATTCATATAGAATAAATGTGCATAGAATCTGAGGATAAATACATTAACCACGGCTTTTTTTGATTAGTTATACCTGTCACTGATAAGTTGACCTTTAAAGGGGTGAATTTGGGGTCAATCAAAAGTGTTTTAAAGTGTCTCCAAAGGCCACACAGCAACCGCTGACATAACCAATCAGGTTTTAGTACTTCGGCTACGAAGGAGGTTTTCCATGAAATGAAGAAAAGTAATTGGTTAACTTAACAGACCCTAGGTAGCCTTTAAAGTCACTTGTATGAGATTAAAATTAAAGGCCACCCTAGTAACTGTTGAGGTAGCCAATTAGGCTTCTCCATTATGAAGTGGACTCTGGAAACTCTTAACTGGTGAGTCAATAATCTCCTCCGATATTATCACCCAGACAACAACCACGAGAACACTGAGTTCTGGAGTGGCTATCATGATGTCCCCAACAGCATCGAAGGCTCTCTCTCATGCAGTGGGAACCAGTCTCCTCCAGTATCAGGATCATCACAGCAAGATTCAACTCAAAAGGAAGGGAAGTCACAATCATTCAATGCTACACGCCAACAAATAATGCAGATGAAGAGAAGGAGGAGGAATTCTATAGACAGCTGCATTTAGTAATGGACAAGACCCAACCCTAGATAGCGGCATCAAAATTCTAATGGGTGACATGAATGCCAAACTGGAAGAAGACAACACAGGAACAGAACTGATCACGGTTCCAGAAGCACTTGGTGAAATAAATGAGAATGGAGAACCATTTGCAGACTTCTGCACATTCAATGATTTGGTGATTGGAGGCACTGTGTTCAAACACAAGGACATTCACAAAGCTACATGGATTTCACCAGATAGATACACTACACTAAAAATCAGACCGACTTCATCTCAGCGTGAAGCAAATGAAGACTATGCCAGCCTATTTGACACAAGATCAGATGAAGAAGAGGAGCAGATGTACGTTCACACCAGTCACTATCTAGTGCAAATAACCTACTTTGAAAATCAAGTTGAAAGCCTTGAAAGAAGTTGACGATAAAACATAGTTCAAATTCGACACCCATAACAGAAACTGAAGGACGAAACTACAAACGACATTTTCACGTTGTCAGTCAACGGGACAAAATGGAAGATATTTGACAACATCCCCGAGGAAACCTGCGTCGAAGAACACTGGAACTCTTTGAAAGGGATGTGGAAAGAAACCTAGATAACAGTGTTAGGAAGGAAGAAGAAACAAGATAGTGAAAGGACGGATCTCGACAAACACATGGAAGTTGACAGAGGAGGAGGAGGGAGAGGAAGATCGTGAAGCAAAAGATGAACCAGTGTAGTGCAGTGCAATGCAGGGACGAATAACGAAAAGAAAAACTGAATACAACCTATAAAACACTTCACTGAACAAAGAAGTGAAGAAGAGTGTGCACAAAGACAAAATATACTTCTGCGACGCACTGACAAGTGCAGTAGAACAGGCTACAGGTAGGAGAGACAGAGATGTTACCACATTATATCAAATAACCAGGTTACTATCTAGGATGGAAGCCATTAACTCAGATGAACCCAATAAAAGATAATGAATGGAACTTAGTTACAAGAGAGTAGAAACAAAGGAAAAGATAGGTTGACTGCTTCGAAAAACTCTTGAATCGACCACCAACACCACCACAACCACAACCAACACATGCAACGCGTTCATAAATACAAGCACCAGCTCAGCCACAGAACTATCAGTATACACAGGTCCCACGACAAAAGCAGAAATCCTCAACGCCAAGCATTACACTTGCTGAAAGCTGAGAAAGCAGCAAGACTAGATGGAATTCTGACAGAACCACTGAAAACAGACGCAGAGACAACAGCGAACATACTGACACCACTACTACAGAAGGTTTGGAAGGAGGGAATGAAGGAAAAACGGGTATCTGCAGATTGGGAGAAGAGCTACCTCGTCAAACTCCCGAAGAACGGTGACCTAAGTCTTTACAAGAACTGGCGAAGAATCATTCTGCCATCATTGTTAACCCCAAGCAAATATTAGGCTGCATCATAGTGGAGAGACTTAAAAATGCTCTGCATTCAAAATTACCACCGGAACAGTCTATTTGGGTTCACGTGTGGATCAAATTGCAACACTACGAATCATCACAGAACATAACACAGAATGGCAGTCAAATCATCTTCGACTTTGGAAAGGCCTTCGATAGCGTTGACCGAGAAGTAATTCGGCAAGCAGCTGCTTCAACACTACGGTTTTAGTGCCACAAACCTCTATCAACCTCATTCAACAGCAACTATATGGTATATGAAGTGGCTATATGCCAAATGATTCATAATGGAAAGATCAGTGATACCTTTGAAGTGAAGACAGGAGTAAGACTAGGATGAGGTTGTCTACTATCACCGAAGATCTTCCTGATTGTGGTCGACTGTATTGTACTGTACTGTACTGTACTGTACTGGATCATGCAACGAAGTGTGAGGCATTGTGAGAAGATTGGAAAATGCCGTTTGAGCGATGGAAATAGACAGATGCTAGAAGATTTGGATTTCACAGATGATGGTTCATGTATAATGTCACAAAAGCTGGAAGAAATCTGAAGGAAGTTGTCACTTCAACTAACCTGACTTCATACCTAGGCAGCATGGATTGAAATACAGGCGGCACAGACCAATATGAGGATGTCATAGCCAGCCAGCCAGCCAGCCAGCCAGCCAGCCAGCCAGCCAGCCAGCCAGCCAGCCAGCCAGCCAGCCAGCCAGCCAGCCAGCCAGCCAGCCAGCCAGCCAGCCAGCCAGCCAGCCAGCCAGCCAGCCAGCCAGCCAGCCAACCAGCCAACCAGCCAGCTAGCATCAGAAACACAGCAAGACAGACATTCCTTCATTAACCCGAAATCAGTGTGCAGATCTACTGCACTGCACGGCACTGCACTCATCATAAAGTGGGAACAACATCCAGATTTTCAACACTTATCTCAGTCAACTCAGTACTTCCATGTGAAGGTAGAGAGACTTGGCATGTCACGATAATGATTTCCAACAAACTGCAGATATCATATCATACATGAACAGCTGCCGCCTACACTCGCTCCATACTGACACTGAAGATGAGATGTGATGAGATGGCGAGAATAATGAGAATAAGCGTCAAGGAACTGTGGCTGGCTGGCTGGCTGGCTGGCTGGCTGGCTGCCAACCAACCAAACAACCAAGAACCCATCACCCAACAAATATGCACTGGAAGGAAGTGGGGATGGATTGGATTGAATTGGATTGGACGTCGACTGAGAAGACTGTTTGGGGACATCACTTGTCAGGCCAGGCCTTCGAGTTGAAGCCAGTTAGGAAAGGACGAGTTGTGTGTTCGTGGTGAGGGTGACAAGGAGGAGATTGTGTGTGAGTAAGGAATGAAAGTTTGTGGATAGTCGTGGAGCCAGGTTAAGAAAGAATACTGTAGAGAAGAGAGTGAAATGGCGATGTGCTATTGAAGCTGTATGTTCCACTAGGAACCCAAAAGACAAATAATAATAACAATAATAATAATAATGATAATAATAAACCATCTCATTTGAAGATTAGTAGCTTTATCAACAGATTAACCTCTTTTACCTTAGACTACATGTTTAAACTCAACACAACTGACTGAAATGGTGTTTCGATGACATTTGAAATAAGTTAAGAAGGCAGCTATGATCGAATACTTATTGTTTTCTCCCTGTAAGACATATTTAACAGTCAAAAAATAAGTCACAGTGAAACGCTGCACACTTCACAATAAATTCGATTGACGAGTTGGTACTTCATGAGTGCTTTTTTGATGAAAGTTAGTAAAAGCCTATGGAGCCCAATGTATTCCTTACTAACCCTTAGTATAACTGTGTTCCTATTGCGAGTAATTGTGCTTTGTTCCAGAATGCAAACAAATATATACATAGTTGTGAGGATTAGTGACAAGATTATAGGAATATATGAATTTTGTGGTGATGCAACAGTCGATCCAAAGGGATTATTAGGAAACAGTAATGATGTACAGTGACTAGTAGTGGAATTCAGCACCCGCGTTCCATCCCATTTACGATTCGTCAGCTAAATATATCTGTCACTTAGTGAGTCATGTTGTTCCAAGTGAAACTTGAACCCACTACTTATCCCCTTAAACCTCAGGAAGTTATCCATTAGACCACGGATTTGCTATGGTCGCTCGTTGTGCAACGAGTTTGGCTTCCACGTTACTGCTTGTAATATCCCATCGTTGATTGAACCGAGTTTTAAAGGGGACAATATTACGTACTGAGAGGTAGATACACCCAGCCCACAAGTCCCAAATAAGATGGAACGTACGTCCTGGATTCTATTGACAGCCACTATCCATCATTATCATCCAACGGAAATAATAGGGGATATCGAGGCATTCATGCAGCAGCCCATATGCCAATAGACATCCATCGATTCGGTCCAATCAACGACGGGAAATTACAAGCAATAGCATTATTAAGGAATGCCTACACAGATAATTTTTCTGTTGGGAAAGCAATTAATCAGTCTGAAACACGATAAAGACTGCTTAGATTGGAATCCAGTCATACGTGTTTATCTTGCGTATGACGTTCTAAATTGTTATCACTAAATACTGATTTTTGTTTGGTTTCCCCGTACGATGTCAATGGGTAAAAGTTGTTACATTTTTTATCCCAGGGAGCTGTGTCGTACGCTGGTGCCACGATGAAATGGTTGAAAACAAAACTTGAGGTTTTCAAAGATTATGAAGAATCTGAGAAACTGGCTTCATCTGTTTTCAAAGAACAAAAGTCTGGAGAACCAGATCCATGTTACTTAGTCCCAGCATTCAGTGGTCTATTCTGTCCATGGTGGCAAGAAAGTGCACGTTGTGTTATATGCGGGATTACAGCAAATATTAGCAAAGCTGATCTTATATACGCTGGTTTAAGATCATCCGTTTATCAAACTTATGATGTTATGTTAGTAGCCACTTTGGCCCAAACTGATCGAAGGCGTCATTCACACACACCATTGATTACTTTAGAAAAGCCAAAGGAGATCATTGTTGATGGTGGGATGTCAAACAGTAGTGTGTTAATGCAAAGTTTGGCAGATGTTTTGAGTAAGTAATCCCAGAATTCTCATTCCTTATGAATTTTTATTCGAAAAGGTAACAGAGTTCATTTTATTTCATCCACACTATAAATAATGAGTTGAGTGAAATTCTTCAGTACACCAAATTTTGAACAATGTAGAAAATTGCAATGAATTACCAGAGATAATAATAATAGTAATTATTCTTATCTGTTATTTGTCCCTTGGGTTCCCAATGGAACCTAGGGCTTCAGTAGCACGTCTCCAGTACACTCTCTCCTCTGAAATCTTTTGAACCTGGCTCCACGACAGTCCACAAGCTCTCATTCCCTCCTCACATCATCTTCTCCATGTCACCCTCACCACGGACACACAACTCATCGCTTCCCATCTGTATTCCACTCGACGGCTTCGTCTGGCCTGGAGCATGATGTCCCCAAACAGTCTTCTCAATCGACGTCCAATCCAATCCAATCCAATCCATCTCCACTTCCTTCCAGTGCATATTTGTTGGATGATAGGTTATTGCTTCGTTGGTTCGTTGCCAGCCAGGCAGAGTTCCTTGTTTCCCATTCTTATTATTCTGACCATCTCATCTCAGCTTCAGTAACGAGCCAGTCTAGGCAGTTGTTGATGAATGTTTGTAGTTTATTGGAAATCCCTTTCGCGTAACGCACCAAATCTCTCAACCATACAGGAGCACTGACTTGACTGAGATAAGTGTTGAAAATCAGGATATTGTTCTTCATATTGATTGCAAAGCAGTAGATCTCCACATTGGTTTCAGGCTAATCAACCTCTCTCTTGCTGTCTTTCCGATCCTGGCTGTCTTTGACATCCTCATCTGTGCATGTGCCACCTGTAGTTGAAACAGTGCTGACTAGATGGGTGAAGGAGACTAATTCCTTTAAGTTTCTCCCGTTGATGGTGATTGGAGTTTGTTGTTGTTGTTGTTGGTGGTGGTGGTGGTGGTGTTGGTGTTGGTTGGGTATCCTCATCACTTCCATCTTCTCTATATTCACTTGAATTCCTATCTTCACTTCTCTGCCTCTTCTCCCAACTTGTTAGTTTTCGCTTGCAGATCTCCAAGTTTGTGTGACATCAGACACAAGTCATCGACGAAATCCAAATCATCTAGGTTCTTTTCCGTCGTCTAGCTATTGTATCCCCTCCCCTCCCCCACCCCCACTCCCCCCCCCACTTCTTCTCACAGCTCCTCACTGTTTGTTGCATGATCCAGTCCAATGCAGTCGACCACAATCAGGAATATCATGGGTGATGGTAGGCAGCCTTGTCTCACTCCTGTCTCCTGTCTTCACTTCGAAAGCATCACTGAGCTTTGCATTGTGAATTGCTTGGCATGTGGTGTCTTCATGTTGTTGTTGTTGTTGAATGAGGCTGAAAAATGTTTGTGGTATTGCGTAGTGTTGAAGCAACTGCCTGCCAAATTACTTGTTGGTCGATGCTGTCGAAGGCCTTTTCAAAGTGGATGAAGTTGAGGTAGACGGTTGACTGCCGAGAGATAATTAGTACTGAAGTATGTAAGTAAAAGGAACACTTCATATTATAGAAGAAATTGGTGAATTTCATTTTAGATTCAGTGGGCCTTATGTTGAACTTCAGGAACTCATTTTGTCTATCTAAAACACAAACTTCATCCATCAAGTGTCATCTGGAAATGCATCACAAGGTAACCCTTCTTCCAGTCAATGACCAGGTACCTTTACTTCCTTCCAGACCTTGTGTGATAATGGTGTGAGCATATCCGCCGTTGTCTCTGCGTATGCTCCCAGTGCTCCTGACGGGATTCCATCTGGTCCTGCTGCTTCATCATATTTTACTAGCTTTATGGAGCTCAGGACTTTCACTTTTGTTGGAGGATTCATGTTCACCTGTAATTCTGTGGCTGCAGGTGGCATTTCTGGACGAAGTGCAGGTGGTGGTCGATTCAAGAGCTTTTTTGAAGTCGTCAGCCCTTTGTTTCTTTCGTTCCTCTTCTTTCGTAATTAAATTCCCATCATCATCTTTTATTGGTTTCATGTGTGTTGATCTATTCCCTCCCAGATAGTAAGTAACCTGGTTATTTGATACAACGTTGTCAGGTCTCTCCTACCAGCTCTCAGCCTGTTCTGTTTCACTTGCCATTCACTTGTCGTAGAATTGTCTTTTGTCTTTCCGTGCACTCTTCTTCACTCTTCTTCTTGTCCAGTGTTTTATACATTGTACTCAGATCCCCTTCTCGTTGTGCATCCTCGCACTGCACTGGTTCATCTTCTGCATCACCATCCTCCTCTCCCTGCTCTATCAGCTTCCATGTGTCCATCGAGATCCATTCCATTCCTTATCTTCTCTCTTCTTCCATCCTAATACGGTTGAGCATGTTCCCTCTTTCAAAGACTTCCAGTGTTCATCCACACTGGTTTCTTCAGGGATGTTGTTCGATATCCCTCATTTTGTCTTGATGGCTGACTGTTGTGAAGATTTTCTTCATAGTTTCATCCTTCAGTTTCCGAGTGTTGAAGTGGAAACTGTGGTCTATCACCAGCTTCCTTGAAGGCTTTCAATTTGATTTGGAAGGTTCCTTGCACTAAACGGTGAGTGGTCTATACCTACATCTACTCCCCTTCTTGATGTGACCTTGTGTCAAGTAGGCTGACTGCATCTCCACTTTCTTCACATTGAGATGAAGTCGATCTGATTTTTAGTGTGTCCTGGTGTCTGGTGGAATCCATGTCTCTTTGTGGATATCCTTGTGCTTGAACACACTGCCTGACTCCAATCATCAAATCTTTGAATGCTCAGAATTCTGCAAACAATTCTCCATTCTCGTTCATCAACTCATCGAGAGCTTCTCGACACATGGTTTGTTCTCCTCCTGTGTTGTCCCCTCACAGTTTGGCTGGCATTCATGTCACTCCACCCATTAGAATTTTGATATCGCCAACTGAGGTGGTGTCTTGTCCAGTGTTGATTGAAGTTGTCTGTAGAATTACTCCTTTTCTCTTGCTCTGCATTATTTGTAGGTGCAAAGTGTAACATTGTATGATTGTGACCTTCCTTCCTTTTGAGTTGAACCTTGCTGTGATGATCGTGATGCTGGAGGAGATTGGTTCCCACTGCATGAGAGAGAGCCTTCGATGCTGTTGGGGACATCATGATAGCCACTGCATAACTCAGTGTTCTCGTGGTTGTCGTCTGTGTGACAATATCAGAGTGGATTATTGACTTCTCTCCAGTTGACAGTTTGGAGAGTCCACTCCCATTCCATCTACTGTCGCAAATTCCTAACAGTTCATTGAGATACCTCTTCATCTCGTTTGCAATCTGGGCTGCCTTGTTGGGTTCGAACATCGTGTGGACATTGCATGTCCCCATCCTTACTTTCGCTTTCATCGGGGGAGAGCAGACACATCGGCCGACTGGCTTCCTGAAGGCAGGCTTTCACCAACTGGCATCATTTCGCCTCTCTGATTCCAGTGAGGAATAATATTGTTATTATTTTTTATATATCGTTTGTGCTTTGAATTTTCTTTAGAGGTTGGATTTGTTTTACGGGGTAGGGTTGCTAGGCGTGTGCCCAACCTTCCCTCTTTACCTGGGCTTAGAACCGGCTAGTAAGTGGAGAACTAGTTAACCAGGCGAGGTTGATTTCTAGGAATGAATGTGTCAAATTACTGATTAGAGCAGTTGAAGTACTAACTAAAATATGGGAACCAGAGTTATATTTGCCAAATGGACCTAGATCGTTGACCATTTCAGTTTATATTAAAAAAAGAGAAGCCTTCTCGAGACAACCACACGAGAATCACTCTGAATAATATTGTATCTAAGCTCACAGATTTCAAAGGCATCCAACAGCTACCTGAAGCTGAAGAAAAACATACTAAATGAAACCAGACACAAGTCACACTTTGACCGGGGTGCATCGATCAGATTTTCACTCAAAGACAGTTGTTAGAGTGAATGCATAGTTATAGATCCGATAGAAGCAATTAGACAAAATAATATAATCTACCAAATTCCATGTAATGACTGTGAAGTCAAATACATAGGTCAAACTAGCCGGTCGAGGTCAGTTAGATTAACAGAACATAGGAATTTAGCTAAACATAGAACGGCAGACCCCAATATGATCAATAACCTAGAAAAACACTCGGCCATTGCATTACATTCATTAACACACAACCACACAATAGGGTGGGACAAAACCACTGTACTTAAGTCTAATATAGCTAGGTGGAGAGAGAGATCAATTACTGAATCTTTGTTCATCGAATCCACACCCAACACATGTAATAGGAATGACGCAACACCTATACCAGAGATATGGAAAACTTTACTACCAATCAGAAAACAAAAAAAACAGAGATCAGGTGACAGGACTATAAAATCAGATATCGAAAGAAGTGTGATTACATTGATATGATTATGAGCAATAATTTATGCTCGAAACGTAATCAAGTAAATAATACTGTATCACTGTGCGCTTTATATCAAATAAACAAATGTAATATGGAATTACATTCTACCACAGTGCCCAAGTTTTTCACTTACATAGTTATAGACGTCTGACACTCCATATTTCTTGGGTTTGAAGGTGATATTTGATTTAGTCACTTGTCAGGTATTTTGCTGTATCTAACTGTGAATTCAGTACCTAGAAAGTAAATACTGTCAGTACAAATCCTCTGCTGAAACTCCTATAGTACTGTCATAGTATCTGATCTGAACCTATTCTGTGAATACTAAGCGTACGCCTACATCGACGTATATTGTTATTCTTAATAGGTTTACATTAGAATAAAACTTGGAATGGTCAGGTGAAGGTATGCTACAACACATGAGGTCAAGAATGACACTTCCATAAGATACTCAAGAAGATGTTAATCGACAGTTGGAGACTTTTCGTAGCATGATAGAAAATCACCTATAGTGACTCAGATTTAGAACATCTTCACTAACCTCCATTGATTTCTTTCATCCCTTACCATACAACTTTGCCGACTTCTTACATCATTATCTTTCTCTCCATTTCTTCTTTGCATGGAATCGTAAACTGTACTGATTCGAATTCATTTTTCTATACAAGGCTTTACCTTAATTTCTCTATCTACTTTGACTTAAGTTTTTCTTCAGATCCGTACAGATACAGAAAGTTCTGTTTGATAAACTTTTTGTTAAATTCTACCTCAGTCAAGTTATATAACATGTTTCTTGTGAAATGTACTAATTTTTAACATATTAAATAAGTTGAAAACCTATGTGATTAGATGAAGTATGAATAGCACACGCTAAAATGAATGAATAGACGTAAATTGATTGACTAAACTAACTACTAATAAGTAGTAATAGCTTATTGAAATTGTATAATCAAACATTCTAGTTTATTTTTCCAATTATCTTTTTCTCAATAGATATGACAGTTAAACGACATAATCATTCTAATGTAATGACTGCATTAGGTGTTGCAATAGTTGTAGCATTAACATTAAAAATAGATCCATCTGGACTTTTAAAACTTCGACAGTATACAGATGAACAAGATCAACAACAATCAATATTTCATCCTAGAATTGATTCAAAACATCGTGATATTATGTTGACTGGTTGGTATGCTTCTGTTAAACGTAGTTTAAATTGGACAATAGATGAACAAGAAATTACATCAAAAAGTACATTTTTCAATTTATTGAAACATATTTATAATGAGCAATCATTAAATGAGGATAACATGGTAAAAGTAAGTGAAGTAATAGGCAAATTATCCTTTTTATGCTAATAATTCTTTTACATTTTGAAACTCTTTATCAACTAAAGAGTTTAGAAGAGAATGTTTCCTTCTGAGAGATTTTGTAAATGTTAACAGCTGACTTAAAGGAAGTCGAAGTTCATCTAAGTTTTCCATTTGTCGACACTCGTCAATAAGATGTATCAATAATGATGGGCAGTGGAATCCAGGATCCTCATTTCGTCCTGTTTGGGACTCGTCAGCTGGATGTACCTGCTTCCCAGTCAGTGACGTTGTTCCCACCTGGACTCGGACTCGGGAGTGACCGCTTCAAACGCCAGCGCGTCATCCACTACATCACCGAGCCACAATAGCCATTTCTTGTGCGACGGGTATAGGTTTAGTGTTATTGCTTGTATTACGCCGTCAGTGCCCATCTCCAGTGAACACAGTAAAAAGACAGGCAATATCGAGGCATCCGCATAGGAGCCCATATGCTAACACAGACTGATGAATTCGGTCCAATCAACGACGGTGTAACACAAGCAATAACACTAAAGATGTATCAATGTTGTTGAGATAACTCTTTTCAAAGATTAGGGGCTACGTTATATATTGCTAAAATCAGAGACCTTACCACTGAACTACTAAAACCTTAAGTAAACCTCTATGTGTCTGAACTAAATACGTGGATTGATCACTTGATAATAACCGATTCAGCTACCAATTTTTCAAGGCTGATCAAAGTCCATTGATCTTCTGAAACTGATTATTATTTGTCCCTTGGGTTTCTAATGGAACATACGGCTTCAGTAGCACGTCTCCAGTGCACTCTGTTCTCTACGAAAATTTGCACGACAGCCCATAAGCTCTCATTTCTTCCTCGCACGATCTCCTCCATATCACCCTCGCCTCCGACGCACAACTCATCGCTTCCCATCTGGGTTCCAATGGACGGCCTGGCGCATGATGTCCCCGAATGATCTTCTCAGTGTACGCTCAATCCATCTCCACTTCCTTTTGCATATTTTTTGAGCGATAGGTTCTTGGTTGGTTAGTTGCCAGAGTTCCTTGTTGCTTCTGAAACTGATATATATATCCATTATTATCGAGACTGAGCAAAATCCTTATAGGTGAAATTTGAGTTCTGTCAGTATACCTGAAATAGTCATTACTAACTAGTGAAAAAAAATATCAATAAATGAAGCCTTTTATAAACTAAATCACATTATATCAATGGTAGCACTGTCAGATAATTTGACTCTCTTTACGGCTCATTGTCTAAATATCACACCTTAATGTACGAGAGTCACCCATAGAGTTGAATGCAAGATAACACATACATATCACTTATCTTATCAATGAATTATTTCGGATTTATACTGAAGTCATTTATACAAATGAATAACGTGTCCATAATGAAACAAAGTGACTAGACATTTTTAAAATCCATCACTTTATAACTTGTTACTTTAGTTATCCAGTCTTTGATTGGATTGAATTGATCGCTTTCTGTTGACATATGCGCCTGTGTATGGATTCCTAGATAAAGTCTGTTTATCATTAATTTATGTTTGAAACATAGGCAATATCAAGGCATCCTCAAACAAGCTCATATGATAATGGTGACCTAACAATGAGGTCAAATCATCGACTGGAAAATACAAGTAACAACATAAAAATTATACCTATTGTGACTCAATGGTCAAATGAATAACGCTTTGGTGTTTGAAGAGATCATTCCTGAGTTCAAATACCACCCACTGGGAGATGGGTATATCCAACTGACGAGTCCCAAATAGCACAAAACATGCATCCTAAACTCCACTACTAGTCACTAACTATCACTTATCTATCCCTTTTTATACTTCGGTTTTTTCCACAAGTCAAGCATCTATTATATGTCATTCCTTTTGCAAGTAATGGGTGGTGATTCAGTTAACAAAGATACGGCGATAAATCTCTCACTCCAGATAAATATACCTGGTGGTCGCTGGTTCGAATCCGACCGCGGTCAAGATTTTCATCTCATCTTCAATCATCACCTAGTATGAAATATATTTATTTTATGATCGTGTAGTTGTGGATTTGTTGCAGTGACTTAATTTTCTTTCGATTACTGAACTTTGTTGGGCCAATGATTCTAGTAAAGTATGTTCCCCATCTTTGATAGTCTGATTAACCACAACGAGTTTATGGGACCTATGTGTTTGACCTCCATGAACACAATTCCATCAAAGTAACACCCAGTATGTGCAGTAATAATGATGAAACAAATATTTCTGAGATGCAGAAAATTCTGCTACCAGAGAAGAAAAAGAATGAAAGGTCATAAGAGTGAGACATTAAAGCTTCAAAAGTTGTGTGACTACTTTGATGTGATTATGAGAAATAATTTCTGCTCGAAGTGCCTCCCAGTGAATAGTATTATGTCACTGTATGCTGTACTATGCATAATACTTTATTATGCAATTAGTGCTCACTAGCGAGATCAAGGTGATCTAAACGCCTTATATTCTTTCCACTCTGGAACTGGTTCAGTTTAAGGAAATAAATTGTTTAAAGTATCCAAATTCCGATTGTTCAAGCCCAGTACTCAGTTTACCAAGCTGGTCATGTGACACTATGGTCATGTACTCTATTCTTGATGAGGCATGGGGCGCACTTTTGAGGGTTCACATCCTATGACTAAACAATCAACCACTGCTCTAAGGTTTCCAGTTATTTTCCCGGTAATGTTAGTCCGTGATCAGTACTGCTTTGAGATCAACCAATTCCAGCAAACCAACCATTGAATTACTGCACAGTGTCCATTAGTTCCTTCCTACAACATGGGTTTCCTGAAGCACTGGTGAGTAGTTGTGACCGGAGGAGTTGAGGAAACCAAATATTAAGACACATACTCGCCGATAGCTTTAGATGACAGTCACGCTGTATCGTGAACTGCCTTAACGAAGTTGAAGAATGTGAATAGTTGTATTCTGAATCAGTGACTCATTGATAACGGGCTCACCATGAAACAGGATAGTTCTGTGTATTTCTTATCTCGGAGTTTTCGATTCGCACTGCCAAGGAGTTCCAAACAAAAACGAAACAACTTTGCAATGCTTCTATGGTTTCAGTGGTTGTTAAGCAGTTGTAACTTCATGATTTCACTGAATGTTCCTCTTCCTTACTTTGATTGATTGCTCAAAATCTAAATCATAAAAGAAGGTAAAAAATGAAAACGATCTGCACAACAGCCTGTATTTTGATAATTTAGTTGGTTGTGGTTAGCAGAAGAACCCAGGACGCGCGTCTCGTCCTATTTGTAGCTCGTCAGCTGGATGTAGCTGCAATCCAGTCAGTGATGTTATTCCCTGTTATGGTTTCGAAGGCTAATATATATATATATATAATATAATATAATAATATATATATATATATATATATATATATATATGTTCCAGAACGAATATAACACGCACGCTTAGCTGACAACTAACTTAGTACGCAACAGTCACTGACTGCAACCCCTGGACGAATTGAGAGAAGATCGAAGCTAGATAATGGCAGAGTGTATTACTCCGACAATATAATATAATAACAAATCAATACAAAACACGTGAATCAGTACACACATGAGGAATGACCTTGTCGTCAATTTGAGGCATTTGCATATTAAGCGTAAAGATTAACCAATCAGCGATTTACACTAAAAGCAATGTGGGCATAAAATAGACTATTAGTCATGCTGTAAAGAAAATGGTGTGGGAATGACGCATTAAAATGTTCAGATCAATAGCAATGTTTTATACAAGACTGGGGCATCACAACATTCCCACTGACACTTGAACTTCGTACCCATCACTTCAAACGTCGAGGCATTATCCCCCATATCACGGAGGAACGATAGCCACTTCTCTTACAACCGCTGGTAGTTAGCACTATTTATTCAAATAAACTTGTAATTCTCCGTTGTTTTATTGGATCGAATTTTTCGACCTCTATTGGCATATGTGCTGGCTGTTATGCGGATGCCTCGATATTGCCTGGATGTTAATTATAATAACGCGCGTCCTGGATTCTTCTGCTAGCCATAACCAACCAAATTATCATAATTAACATTTAGGCAATATCGAGGCATCCGCCTAAGAGCCCATATGCCAACAGAGATCGAAGAATTCGATCCAATAAAACATCGGAGAATAGCAGATGGTATGTTAATAAAAAGTAATAGTCTATATTTTGTTTTAAACTTTTCGATATTCTTAATAAATCCAATCATCATTTGAATTTTTTTCCCCATGTATTGTCAGACAAGTAAATACAAACTCTTTTCAAATACTACTACCACAAATAATAGAAATGAAGTTATTTCATCAGCCTATCGAAATAGAAAAACTCAGTTTGGTATTGTTTAATACTGGAATAATATACCCGTATTTTCCCAACTGGAACTAGCTATCCGGGTTACCTGGCATCCTAGTGAGTCTCGATACTCAAAGTGAGACCTGAAAACACGCCCACCGATCCGACTTTCGAAGTATTATGCCTTCCGATTTGAAGTTTCCTTAGTAATTGAATTAATTTTACGGGATAGGGTTTCAAGGCTTATACCCAACCTTTTCTCTTCGTCTGGGCTTACGCGGGATAGTAACTAGTTAACTAGGTAGGAGAAACCTAGAAGAAGTTGTCTCTTTCATGCAAATATCTAGGCAGCATGGATTGAAATACAGGCGGCACAGACCAATATGAGGATGTCATAGCCAGCCAGCCAGCCAGCCAGCCAGCCAGCCAGCCAGCCAGCCAGCCAGCCAGCCAGCCAGCCAGCCAGCCAGCCAGCCAGCCAGCCAGCCAGCCAGCCAGCCAGCCAGCCAGCCAGCCAGCCAGCCAGCCAGCCAGCCAGCCAGCCAGCCAGCCAGCCAGCCAGCCAGCCAGCCAGCCAGCCAGCCAGCCAACCAGCCAACCAGCCAGCTAGCATCAGAAACACAGCAAGACAGACATTCCTTCATTAACCCGAAATCAGTGTG